CTTTTGCATCTCCAGCTCTCGTCTCTGATGCTCCTCCTGTTCCTTGAGCTTCTGCACCTCCAGCTCTCGTCTCTGTTGTTCCTCCTGTTCCCTGAGCTTTTGCATCTCCAGCTCTCGTCTCTGATGCTCCTCCTGTTCCTTGAGCTTCTGCACCTCCAGCTCTCGTCTCTGTTGCTCCTCCTGTTCCTTGAGCTTCTGCACCTCCAGCTCTTGTCTCTGTTGCTCCTCCTGTTCCTTGAGCTTCTGCACCTCCAGCTCTCGTCTCTGTTGTTCCTCCTGCTCCCTGAGCTTTTGCATCTCCAGCTCTCGTCTCTGTTGCTCCTCCTGTTCCTTGAGTTTTTGCACCTCCAGCTCTCGACTTTGTTGCTCCTCCAGCTCCTTCTGCCTTTGCTTCTCTGGTTCCTGACACCTCATCTTCTCCAGCTCTTGCCTCTTTTCAGTCTCTGTCAGTCTTCTCTCCTCTTTATAGCATGTTTGCTCTTCTGTTTCCAAAGATAGCTCTCCCTCAAGGAGATACTGCCTCATCTCTTCTTCACAACACCTTTTCTCCTGTTCTTTACGCATCTGTTCAAGTTCTTGGCACCTTTTTTCTTCCATTTCTCTTTGTTCATCCATTTCTACAATCTGTCTTATCCTTTCAGCCTCAAGGATCCCCCAGTGATCTTCAATTCTTTTCTCCTCTGCAAGCTGAAGCTGCTTCTGCTCATTTCTGCCTTGGATTAGCTTGTCTGCTATGAACTGTCCATTATAACCTGGATATATGTCCTCATACAGCTGAGTTTCCAGGTCCTCTGGCTCAAATTCTGTTATTGTTAAACTTTGTGATCCCTAAAATTAAAAGACATGTTTGAAGTTACTGAATATTGCCTATTGGCTTGTTATTCTTTATAGTGATCAAAGAGTTGCAAATGCAAACCACTTTTTTCTGAACAGTGATTTAGATCCAGAGCAAACACACCCGCCCCAATTTATGAATCACATCATCATAGATCTCATGTCTCTCACCTATTTTGATGAGAGCCTTTAAAAGAAAGAAAACATCCCAACAGTGATAACAGTATAATGCTAAATATTGAATCACCATTTGGTGTACACTGAGACCTGACCTTTCAAATTTACAGAAGTCCAAGGAATAGAGCACAAGTTTCCTAAGCCTGTTCTACTACTTAGAACTCCATCCTTTAAGCCTGAAACAATTAATGCCTGCTTAAGGGCGTTGTTTTGCCAGTTCTTTCATGGCAAATCTATCTCTTACTTGCAGAGACGGAAGCTGTTGCCTGCAGAGATGAGCAATTGTCTCAATGGTAGCCAGGAAAGAACACTGCTCAGGAAAACACAATTTGCTGCTTTTCACAAATCCTGAGCTGGGATGTCTTCCTCATTAGCTGTGCTGAGACTCCAGTACTATTGCAGGAACTGTGGGAACATGCATGGACAGCCAACCTAGAGCTCCCCAGAAATATTGCACTGTTCTGTGATCATCTGGTCAACTGACTGGTTCTCCATGCCTGCCCTACAGCCCTGGCATGTGGGTGCAATACCAGCAACAAACTGCAGATCTTCTTCACAGCTTACTCCTTGTCTCTGTAGCAACGTGGTCTGATGAGCTGTACCTGAAGAGCACTTCCCAGGACTTCCCTTGAGGAAAACAGCTCAGCTAATGTCCTGTCTAGCTATCATTTTTTAAGCCATCATTTGGCTCCACTTAACCATTCTGTATAAACAAGAGGTTTAAATTTAATGTCTTCATTGCAAGAGTGATAAACGCAAATACAGTGGTGCGGAAGAAAGGACAGTGGCCTCTCCTGAACCCTGTGTCGTTTAGTAGTCTTGTCCCATTTACAAGCACTAGTAAGATGTCAGGATAAAAAACAAGAAATGTGCAGTAAGCGTACAAAGCTAGAATTTGATAATTCACTATATGGCTGTTGCAAGAGCTACATTACTTAAGTCTTATTCTTTCCTATAGGACAAGGATATTTTCCCTGTCAGAACCCACATCAGTTTTAGAGAATCTAATTTTTTCCCAACCAAGTTTTGCGCTACTAATTGCCTATATCAGAGCTGCATTAACAGTGGCAGACATCTTCAGGCCTCTATGATATAAAAATTTTACTAGAAAAACTAGACTCAGAAAGCTCTCCCAGTGTAAAATCCTGGTGGAATTACTTCAGGTTTAAGTAGTGTTTGTCTCAACTGGCAATATTATAACTTCTTTGCATCTTCTCTCCAGCTCATGTTTCAGCTGTAGGTCTCTCTCTTGACTTCAAGTAACACTGTAAATCGCATCTTAAGTTAATAACAGTCCTATGTCTGTAGCTCCTGGTGCACTCAGTTATGGTTATTTTACCCAGCTTCAAAAGTAATCCCCCTTGTCTTGCTGTTTGGCCAGTGATTTAATACCTTTGTTAGTCTCTTGTGCTTTCCTGATACCCTCTGCTTTTTTGGCTTCACTGACAGCTTGTGCTTAGCTGCACTGTTGTCTAGACGAGCAACAGCCTGGGGAACTGAATCCAAATTGATTGTTTCAATTGTGCCAGAACAGGAAAATTGTCTTTTTGGCCGAGCTGATTTGACTGGAGTGACCTGTTTGTATCACAAACACAAGAAATTGTTATTAAGCTATTTGTTCCATAAAATAAATAAATAAACAAGTTAACAATACGCGTGCATGCACACACATGCACACCTTTGGAGTTTTGAATTCAAAGAGTTACTAGCAGAAAAGATTTGAAACCCTGTTTTTTAATTATACAAATCACAAACTTTGGACATGAAAGTTACAGCTGTAATATTTTCCCATTTTCAGTACTACACATTTCTACAGTTGTCACATTAAAATTACTTATACCATTCTAATTGAAGTTTTTTCACAGTTTAGCACCACTCTGAGCTTATTGGGAATGGGAAGGGCACAGGCAAGGTTTTAAGCAATATCAAACACTGGGACATTTTAAAGTTTGCTTACTGTGAAAAAAAGATTTACATCTTTAAATAATTTAGATTAAACACTTTAGGCAAAAGGAAATCAGATTGACTTATCTAAGCATTATAACAGAACAGGTACAGAACTGTATTATCTGCATGGGAGATGACTGCAGTATGGGATGCCAGACTGGCATAGTGCCTGCAGAAAACCTTCCCTCCACAGTCATATGGAGTTGTCCAAGCAAGCACCAAATAGCAAAATATAAAATAAGACAACATTGACTTTGACGGGTGCTTTTTTTCTTGTGCCCTTCAAAATACTTGGGTTCCGAAAGTGCAAATATAAGCAAAGTGATTCAGTGAGATTCCTCTCATGAATAAATACAGTGGAACTGTATGTCTAGGCGTGTAAGCGTGAGCCTGTCATCAGTCTCCCCCATAAGTCACCAAGCTATCATCCCAAGACTTGTATTTGGCATAATTCAAATGGAAAAAAAAGACAGACAAAAAAAAATAGAAGGGAGAAAACATCTTCTGTAAGGAAAGAAAATCACATACATTGTTTTCAAGACAGCTCTGTAATCTTCTGAGGTTAAACACATGATAATCATGGAACCAATTACTTAAAAGCTGAAGGAACATTTTGCATATGCTTATTGAATTACATGCAGGCATAACAAAGTAGTAGAAGTACTTATGAAAATTATAACTCTGTGATTAATACATCAAATGTAGGAATGCTGCAAGACTGGCAGAGACCGATTCCTGCTGTTTCCTACAATCAGCTCTTACAGATTTCTCAATCTTAGTTATTGCTTATGTACTAGCCCCAAAACTGCACAACATTTACAAAATCTTGGATGATCAATGAAACAATGGAATATGTCCAAAAGCAGAAACAGTCAGGTTTCTGCTATTTCAAACCAGAATGTAACTCAGTGCAAACCAAGTGTAAGAGGTTTTTTTACCTTTTCTTCCACTTCATGTCCTGTTCCAGGCAAATTTAGCATTCTCAAGAAATCTGGTGTGTCAGTGGGCTAGAAAACAAGATTACCACAGACATGTATTAAAATATAAAGGATCTAATAAATATGATTCAAAGGAGTTGTGAAATCATGCATATTAGGATAGGATTTTTATCCTGTTTCCTATCACTGCAGGACTGATGGATAAACAATTCTTGTTCCTACATGCTATGAGTTTCTCTTTGCTACTCCTTGAATCATTGCTGTCTACACAGAGGCAGTTACTGCTACAAAACACTACAAAAGGTAAAACGCTCAGGCTTTCTTAACAAGGTAAACAGGTTCCAAAACAAAGAGTACAGTTCTGTAGGATTTTGGTCAGGTCTTACAACTTTATTTTCTTCTGACCTACGCATAAGGAAAAAATATAGTAACCTGATTATGCATTATCTCTGCTGCAAGGAGTTTCAACTTCATGTGCTTGACACCTCCTCTTTTTACAGAGCTAACTGTCCCCACAGAGTGATGCAAGCCTGGAGGACTCAAACTCTTTAGCTACTGTCCCTCTCCAAGCCATTCACAGCAGGGAATTTTTAAGGCACAGAGGTTGAAGCAGCATTGATCACACCCAGAAACATTGGTTTTAATCATTCTATCACAGTATTACTTCATAACCTAATGAATGTTGGGATCCCATTACACCAGGCACACCTGATTGTTAGTATGAAACCTAAAAAATCAGCTTCACAAATACAGGTTAAATTAAACCCAGAACTCTTGCTATTGATCCAAGTTACTCAGACAGGAAAATCAGAAATCACAAAGTATCACAGGAAACCTGTTCGAAGTAGACCAACACTATGTGGTCCTGGCCACCAATTCTTGACAGAAGCCACCCCATCCCTCAGGACCTATGCAGATAGACACACCGAGGAGTTACAAGGCCAACAGAAGAGACAAGAGTAGAAACTAGGGAAGCTGCCATGTTTCCCTAATTTCCCTGATTATCTCTGATAACGCAGGTAACGAGTAGTGTGCAGAAATGAAAGGAAAGTACTAAGTGCTCTGACTGACACTACGCACATAGAGTTGGTTTGGTTGTGTCTACAATTGTCTCTGAGTAGGGATGTTTGCTCCTTCAGTATTTGGAAAAAGAATTAGGCAAAGGAGTGGTCATTTTGTTTTTAAAATGTAATATTTAAAAGAGTAGGTGGTAAGGATTGAATTTCTCCCTCTTTATTACACAAAAATACTGTAGTGTTTTTTTTAGTGCTTGAGCTATTGTCTCCTTCAAGCTGGAGGTCACAAGGTGACATTAGTGTCTCCTACAGGACCCATCAGAAGGCTGTCTGAAGAGAATCTATGTTGGTCTCAAACACAGACTTGCACCTAGTACCAGGGTACATGGGGTAAATAGCCAAAACCTGTCCATGGGCCCACCCGCGTATTTTGTGCTGAGGCACACAGGATGCTCTTGATTCACCTTAACTGATTGCTTCAGAAGGGAGTATTTGTGAAGCAGAAAAAATATACCTTACCTTGGCTTCATTTTTATCCTTCCAGACTGCCGAGGGAGGGGTGTGAGTGTGCAAGTCCTACCTAAATGCCTGGCTCCCTGACAGATCTGACCACAACCACGAAGGAAGTGGTCACAGAGGAGCTATATTGCCCCTTAAAGACTGATGAAGAATTTTGGCCACCTTGGCCATAAATCTGCCTTCTGTGTGTTTGGCTGAATATAGGCATGAGCTGCAGAGGACACTTCCTGCCTTTGCCTTTCACACGGCCAGCACTAGTGTTAGTGAACACGAGTGGAGGCTCATGCCCTGCTGTCCCATCGGGATTTTAAGGGCTGCATGTACATGATGGGTTGCTGCATGCCTTTTCCAAAGGTTCCCAGGCACTAAGTCAGCCTCCTCCAGGCACAGAAGGATGTCCTTCTGTTCCCTGTGCTCCTTGCTGGCATTACAGTGACACACAGGACCAGCCTTGCCTTAGAGGATTTCCAGAAACCTTTCCTCACTCACTGTGTTTCTTAGCTGTCTGAACAAGACTCTTCTGGATGCCTGAATGCCCACAGTTCCTGATATCAAAATCTTCATGAATAATTTGAAGAATTATTTGAATTATACTGGACATTTGGATTTAGGGAGCATACAAAATGCTTATCCCCCTTCTTTGCCTCTGGTTCCTGTCCATGAGAAATACAGATACTTACCCTAAGACCTAGGATTTTACAGATTTAGGCTCCAGACCCCTCTCATTTTGCAATGATTTTCCTTTTTGCCATTTGATGCTGTGAGCAACTTTCCTTGCTCGGAAGGCCATATTTCAAGATATTTTCTGTCTCAGAAAATTCTCCTGTCTTCTAGCTACACTGCAAATGATGCACTACATTGCTAGAAGTTCAGAGCAAACACTCAAACCAGTAAATCTGTGTGACCTGGATCAGGATGCCAAGAGCATGCTTCCCACCAGTCCAAGAAGGACGAGCTGAGAGAACCCTCCCACGTGAAACAGCCCAGTGAGTTCTGCTGCGCCTCACTGGAGACATCTGCTATTGCCCAGTGAATTTTACTGCTTTAATACTGCTATAATGCCATGGACACATCAATTTGAAGTGCTTACTTTATTACCACTGCCTGAGATCACTGTGACCTGCTGAGTCTCCATCTCCATGGGGCTGCTGAGCAACACATCCTCTTCTATACTAGTGTTTGCTTCCCCCATTGTCCTTGCAGAAACTGTCATTTGTGGAGGCTGCCCAAATTTTATATTCTTGGCCAACTGTTGCTGAAAAACAAAAAAAGGAAAAAACCCAACAACAGTGATAAGTAGGTATTTATATTATGAGTAAAACAAGACAAGTTCAGCATGCACCACAAAGTGACCAAGGTCAAGAATTTTCTACATGATTTCTGATTTTGGATGATCAACTTGAGTTCTTGACAGTGTTGCCAAGTTTTGCAAACTCACCGTGAACTTCGAACACTCCATCTCTTTTTTTAATCTATGTTCTAGGTTAAGACTTTGATTATAAAAGCTAATTATGATGCCTTATTGTTGCAAAGAAATATGATTACAAGCCACATGTACACCGGGAAACTAAAACTACCCCAAAAGGCAACTTTCTCCAGCCCCCAAACCCTGCATCTCATACATCTGCAGTTCTGAAAGATATCCTTATTGTAATGTTTAATTATAAGGTTTAAATGTTAAGGATTTGGCACAGCCTGGCCTTAGAAGAGGCAAAGTCTCAAAGGAGGGTAAGCTCAGCTCTTTTAGATGCTTGATCTCATAGGAACAATATACAAACTCCTGTCTGCTCAGGCCACTCACCGCTGTTGCACAAAGAACTTCAGGCAGGGAACATGCAGTAGATGAATGAATAAAAGAGCTTTCCCACCATTTATTTTTCTTTTTGAAGTAATCTTCTCTCAAGGGTTACAAGAAAGTACTCTTGAATTACATCAAGTGTAAGATGAATAAAATAAGTAGCATATAATATCTGTCCCCTGATAGAGTGAGTTAGAGAAATTGCAGCTCTGGCTACTTCAGAGACACATACCATACAGACTTTGAAAGCGAATTTTTGCAAAAGAGTTAAAAGAAATTCTCTAGAAGCAGCAAATGGAGTAAGGAACATGTATTGATACATTCTCTTCCTGAAATATTTCAGGGAATCATTCTCAGTTAGGAAGGAGAGGACTGTGGAGTTATTTTCTGGCTTTGCTGTCTTTCAAGCACAGAAAATTCTCCAAAGGACTTCTCCCATTTCTGTCTTGTGAAACTATGGACAAGTTATTTATGCTCATTTGAATTCTGCCAGAAAGTGGTGAAATTTATATCGTACACCATTTTGGCATAGTGGGCAGTTCTGAATGGCAGACTTTTATTCCCACCTGGATTACTGGCAGTGCACTCATAGTCTAAAGGTAAGTGTTTCACCAAGGGCTTTGTTGCCTCAGGTTTTTTTGATTTTTTGATTTTTTAATTTTTATAGGTTTTAGAAGTAGTTATGTAGTGAATGTAGGTTTTAAATGTAACTGTATGTCTCTCACTCTTTAGAGCAGCAGTTACATATACCCAACCCTATTACCCCATTCCATATCAATTCCCCCTAAATTCCAGTAGCGTATTTAGTCTCTTTTTCAAGGTAGGCCTTAATTCTGTTTAAGAACATCTGCACCCTGGCCTGGACAACAAGATATCACCCAGGCAAAGCAACCTTCAAACCCAGGACTTTGGAAAGCCTCCAAGAACTGTAAGTGCTCCAAAGAAGATGAAGATGAGGAACAGGGGGTCCCAAAACTCCCCCAGACTCAATTCCCGAGGGGCAGGTCGGCAGGCAGAACAGGGCAAAGGCCAGGGGGTGGACGAACAGGGATTGGATGGACATAATTATTTCACGCATTACACTTGAAGAAAGTTTTGGGGAAGAACGGTGAAGAAACATACTGTAAATGGATTTCTAGAGATGTGTATTTGCAGCAAGTCCAGACACAAATTAAGATTTTAGTATACAGTGGCAATAGACCACTTAGAGAGACTTGTGTAAAGAGCAAGACTTTCTGCAGAAGCCTGAAGATACTGCATCAGTGGCATTTGTCACCAGAGTCTTTCCTCAAGCAAGGCAGATGCAAGGAAGGAAACAGAAGCTCATTTTCAGGGCTTACTATGATCATAGGTAAAAGAGAATCTGCCCAAGAAATGCTAGAATGATTAAGAAAAAAAATAAATAAATTCAGTTTATAAAGTAAAACCAATTTTCAAATATGAGGAAAACAATTAGGCTGCAGTGGCACTAGAAAATATTAGCAACAAAGACATTAATTGTAAGAAATACAAAGTTAGGCAATCATGCAGTGAAAATTCACTCCCAATTCTGAAAAATGGAGAGCATCAAGTTAAAAGATAAGAGCTTTGAGGTTTCGCAAATGACTTTGAAGACTTGTTGAGATCTGTGCAATATCAAACAGAAGCAACGATGGGAATTGCTGGTACAGATGTCCCCAGCACAGTAGGGGAAGCACTGGCTTGATCATTAGCTAAGATATGCTAATGACTAAAAGAAATGGAATCCAAAAGTGAACAGTTATTAGGTCTGATAGGAAGAAAATGATCAGTGACATTCATCATCAGAAAGCCAGGGAAATGTGAATTTTAAAAGTGGTCCTTTAGTATTTGACCAAGAAGTGGTTTTATCATGATCAATATTTGTGTAATAAATGAGTGTTTTATATATTTACAGAGCAGAAGGTTTGTTTGTTTTAAGCCACATGGCCACATGAAACAGAAAGGAGGTAACCCTGTAGTTTCTAAATGCCATAAGATATACGTCGTATTCAACCTTTAATATTTCTTGCAACTGACTGCTGCAGCCTCACAGATGCCTGATGACCCAAAATACTTTCAGTGAAGGCAAGAGCCAAAGAACAAGCTGTTCTGCTGCCTCCAGAGGCAGCAGCAGTACCACACCACAGTATTGTCACAGCAAAAGGGAGAGAATGGCTTAGACACTTCAGGATACTAATGTTCTAAACAAGGTTTCATTTTACTTGCTGCAGTTTTTGCAGTCTGAAACAAAAACTGTCTTCTGTTTGTTTGTTGACCATTTCTGGCAAATATCAGTGGTAGGAAGAAGAGTCATAGCTACAAAATATGAGGAAGTAGTTCTAAGGCACTTCGATGGAAGAAAAAAAACCCACTAACCTATGAAAGGCAAGGATGTAAAACCAAGTTCCCAGAGTTGTTTTTTTTTTCTGACACACTGACAGATTTACATTTTAAACATTCCTGGTGTCTCATTCACAGTCCTGTATGAGAAGCAGAGCAACAGATCCCCAGAAACTAAGAGTTCAGCATTAAGAGTACCAATGCCTAGGTACCACCTCTTCGTGGGGGCAGGTTCGGGCTGGCTTTCTACACTGGATGTTACAAACTAGGTAATGATAAATCTCAACAGAGCCAAAGGACATGGAAAAGACTTCTTTTATGACAGCAGATGGCTTGAGCCAACATGAAATAACTTCAGGATACACAAAGGCTATTGGAGGTTTACAAGAGGTCGGGCTTTTCTCAGCCTGACTTCTAGCACACACTAAAACCTTTGAACATAACCAAATCCATTTACAGAAAGCATGATAAGATGAATGCTACCAATCTTAAAATCAATAAAAACAAATGAGGGCAATTCTAGAAAGAACTGGTTTACCTTGCACACATAATCATAAAGAGAGAATTCCCATAATAAGAAGCTGAAACAGTGCACATGCTGGCCAGATGCCCAGACTACTACAGAGTTTGCACCATTACACAACATTTTTTGTGGGTTCATCAACACTCCAAAATCAGCAGAAAGGCGAGGTGAGAAGGGAGAAACACTTTGGCAGTTCTCAATATGATATCCAGCACCATCAATATTAAATGGCTTGCATCATTATTCTGACTTCAAAACCCTTTTCATCATGCTATCTGCTAGGCTTGTAAGCATGGTGACTTTAAAAAAAAAACAGATTTAAGTTTTCCAGGAGTGTTTACTGTACCATACAAAAAAAATCCTGAAAAGGGTTAAAATTTGCCGAGCTTTTGATCTCTGTTTGAGTGCAGCAATTCAGGAGTCAGCAGGAGGCACTTAATCCTGGCAACAACTCTTTACTGAAGAGCATCTTGCTGGTGAATGGAAACTGGAAGGGCAGTGCTTCCACTGTGACATACAAGCCTGAGCAAAACCACAGTAATGCTGGTGGCAAAGTAATGACTTGGGACTGGGAACAGGCCTCAGAACTGGCTTTAAGGAGTAGAGTATTCTCCAGAAGACATGACTGTCTCCTCTTATTCCACCAGTTTAAGAAATACAGATGTTCCCAGTTGGAGTGAGCTTACAGAAAGGGTCTTCAAAGTAGATACAAAGTCTGATAACAGGAGACTGAATATCAGTGTTTTCTGTGACCAGAAATCACACAGCAAGTGCTGTCTCATAGAATAATACAGCAGAAAAAAAGGATGGCGTATGGAATGCATAAAACCTTCAGATAGGAGCAATAGTCAAAATAACTCATCAGACCTGGGACTCAACTGTAAGGTCAACCTGAAATTGTGCAATGGGGTTTTAGCATGATTTTGTCCTAAAACTCAGGGATCAGTTGCAGAAATCATGGCTAGGGAAATTGGGACAGTTACATGCTGGGCATCAATTTTTACAGATACAAGAGGTAGCCCCTAGTCTTGTTATAGGGAGCCTTTCCATGGGTTTATGAAAAAAAATCCATGGAGATTTAGATGAATATATAACTTCTGTGCAAACACGTAAATAGCTAAAAGCATCATTTACAATTTATTATTCATTTCCTTTCTGAATGAATGAGTTGCTCTCACCATCATCAGTAGAGTGGAAAATGAATTGGGTATGTTACAGGCTGGGTTCCAGCTATACTAAAATGACAAAAATGAACTACCATCCTTCAGTTTTAAACAAAAAGGCAAGAACATATTTGACTTCAAGCAGCTGAAACAATACTTCCCCTTAAAATACATACAAATAACCACAACAAAAAAAAGGCTTATGCAAAGGCTATTTATTTTGTGACTTTCAAAGGGGAGTATTTTGCTTCAATTTTCTTGATTTACCACGTGCTTAGTGAAGATGGTTGTTAGCAACTGCAATAACTATACTTTTTATTGGGTGTCTCAGTGTAGTGAAGGCAATAATTTTCACTGGGAATTTTAAGCTGAGTTTTGAAATAAGAAAAGCCACTCCTAAAAATGAAAAGTTATTCATAGAAAAGCTAACATATGGAATCCAAGACAACAAATCCAACAGATAGGGAGGGCATAGCTCCTTGAAGAAGCTGAGCTTTTTTTTTTGGTTTTGCATTGAAAAGACACTGCAAAACAGGCCCAACTACCTCCTGTCTTTGCCCAGAGTCAGCAGTCATTTTAAACACAATGATTTCAGACTGGAAAGTAGCATGCATGGAATCTACCTCGCCCAGGGAAATTTAAGCTGAAAAACCAGCACAGAGGAATTGGAGCTGCCCTAGCGTGGTTTCTACTTCAGAGTTCATCTACAGTCAGCACAGCCAGTGCTGTTCAGCTGCTCTGCCTGCCTACAGCACCAGCAGGAAGCAGGAACAATTTAATCCTGAAGGTCAGAGCTCTCTACTGAGCACGATCTCTCACTCACCAGAAAAGATGGACCATGGGTAGACTTTGGAGGTAAAAGAAATCAATGGTATTTTAGTAGTAAGCCTCAGAGTAACAGCACTTGCACAGAATTAAAAATTTATCAGCATTTTGACAGGACATGTCAGCATCCTGAGCAATAAAGTGCAATGTGCTTCTGAAGGACAGCTCTTTCAAGATCTAGAAAGGCACAGAGATGGGAATCTTACAGATGTACAAGTAAAGCAAAAAATTAGTTAGAGTGCTAATGGGAGAGAGTTCTGGAAAAGAAGGAAAAGCAGGTCATGTAAAGCTGTTTAGAAGCAAAACCCAAATATGTTGTTTATGCTTTGGAGAGATAAACAAATCCACCTTTCATGAGAGTCATTGAAAGGACAGTGAGAAAAAGGAGAAAAAAATGTAAAATATATAAATGTATAGTGAAATGAGCTTTACAAAGAAGTTCTCACTCTACATGCCATTCCCTGCCACCAACACCACTCTCATTTTTTCTCTCAATACCACTTCTGTAGGACTCAGGCATACAGATCAGGACACACTAAAACTACAAGTTCAATTCAAATGAGTTTCACAAGACACAGATATTTCTGCAGAAATGTTTGCAGTATCACTGCTGTAACTTTCAAGACCAAAACCTATAACTTCTGCAGATTATCTGAATTACATGGCTTTTGGCCAGACAACTTAATATGGCTGAGAAATTTCCTGAAGGTTGTTGGAAAAGCAAACCATCTTTATGCACATATAACACATTCTGGAGACTCTTCTCCCCCACATTTTAAGTATTTTTCCCACTTGCAATTTCTTACCTGAAGAGTTTTGACTTTTCCTAAAACGTTCTCCTGTGACATTGCTTGGATGGCCTGTTCACCCTCTGTTCTCCCATCAGGTATAAAAATACTGTCATGGGAAAAAGCTCGACTGCCCATAGAATAATGGGAGGATCTGGAAAAAAAAAAAAAACAGTTAAAAAATAAATAAGCACTGCAATGAGTTTATGAGAGTGACCCTTCATATCATAACTGCCCTGCTGTACAGATTTTCCCTCCCTCTCGCCTTCTACGTAAAAGTTTTGAATATTCTCAGAAGAGAGGTATCCAAACATGTTTAGTTATTAAAAGTTTAATGGAGGTGCACAATTCCTTCACATAAAGTATTCCTCCTTGGAAGGATCTAGAGTTTGGTATTTTTACTAGGCGTGTTGAGAAGTCCAATTGATTTTCCTCGTAAATCTCAAATCTAAATGTTACTTTTAGGATACAGAGTAAGTGACTATGATGCACACATTACCAGACTACATATTTAAGAAAGCCCACATTGGTGCTTAGTCCCAATGCTTGGGATCTGCTGTCATTCTTGGTCAAAGAAAACAGCAGGTCCCAAACAAAAGGAGCTCTATAACACAAAAAAAGGTAATACACTGTAGTAGCCAACCTCTAAAGAGCTACCTTGTTTAGCTGGTTACTCAGCTCTTCCTATCACCATGACTATGATCACACTGACTATAAAAGGTTATCATCAAACCCCTGAACTGCTAAGAAGCTTATTGCACCAACCTGAGTGGCTTTGATTAGCAACAAAGAGCAAGAAATGCCTGTGTGTTGCTGTTAAACTGAATACTAATGCCAAGAAGGAGGGTGCATCATGAATGACCCAGTTATATGGCTCTGATTGAAATCCACAGGCAAAGGGATTAAAAAAAGAATTGTGAAGAAAATGTATAATTAAAAAAAAAAAAGGAAAAAAACCTAGGCTTGTGGGTTGTTACTTCGGAGTTTGGGGGCATTCTGGGGAAAAAATGTTTGAGTTTGAAAGTCATGTTTTGTCTCACCTAGAATATTCCATGGTAAGATAAAAGCCACAGTAAAAAACCCCTGGACAACTGAGACATCTTAAATCTCTCCTTTTAATAATATGTTGACAACTCTACAGAACCCATTTATAACTTCAAAAAAAAAACAATCTGGGGAAAAAAAAAAAGGTTTTGTACAGATCTAACCAAAACAACCTTCTACATTTGATAAAACCATTATAAACAAATATTTCAGCCACAGCAAGGAAGATGATACTTCCGGAGACAAGTGTAAGTAAAACAACAAGAAAAATTAAAGCTTCACATATTTAAGAAAATCAGTATATTATCTTTTTCTGCCTTTTAAAATGTACTAATTTTTCATGAAGTGTTCACGATATTTCTACTCATACTTTGGAAACAAATATGTTTGGAATGTATTTATTACAATTTAATCTCATTTTTTTCCTGGGATATCAACATACTCTTTTTAAGTAAAAACAATAATCTTTTCTTACCAAGGAAGACTTGTTATATAGAGTTATATTATCCTGTTGAAACGGATTAGATAATAGACTATTTGTGACTTTTATAACAGAATTTCTTAGAGGTAACCTGAAAATAACAGGAAAAAAGCCCCCTAAACCATCCCTCTCTAGTTTATATATAAAACTTTTGCAATCCACTCACAACATATTCCAATCTTTTGAGTGAACACACAGAGCCCTCTAAATCATTTTATCTTCAATATAATCACAAACTAACTGAAAAACTACTTTTTATCCAGAATTAATATTTGAGCAACATGCTTCATTTGAAACAAACCAGCACACAATCAGTCAAAGAGCTGGTCAATATTTCACAGCAGTTTTAGCCATGAAAGAGAAGGAACCTTTAATTGATGCTATATTCTATGTTAGATTTTTGTTTTATAAAAACCACAACTTGATTGCCTCTGGCTTCTAAAGGTAATACACCTTCTTTTAGAAACCTTTTATTAGAGAAACCATAAAAGTATATTTTTAAACCCTCTTCTAAAAAAGTTTCTGTACTGAATCTCTGTGACTCAGCCTGTACACATAACTGCGGTAAAATCGCATGTCACTGAAATACATCCACCTTCCTTGGCCACCCAGGAATCAGGCCGTGACCCACAATTTGAGAAATGTCCCTTAAACAGAGAGTGGTTTGAAGCTGAGAGAAAGTTGGCTTTTTTTTCATATAACTGTGTTGGACTGTTTGAACTGAAAGCTCGAGCATTGCATTCAACAAGGTGGGAGGATAGGGGGGAGAAGTCTGTAGTCACAACCAAAATGGAGACAAACATGCAAAATTTGGAAAACCAGTCCATGGGCACCCCTCCTGCCATTTGCATTGTTCAGTATGTGAACCTGCTGCAGATGTGGAAGGCAAGGCCAGTGGGAACTGGTGGTTTGTTAATTACCTTTGAGCTGAGAGATCTGCTGAGGATGTATAATCCAGGTCATGCTGTGCTCCAGAGACGATCCTTTCTCAAAGATTTTTCCAGCAGTGCTGTGGCTCAGATACTTGTGGCTTTGTCTCACAGCTACTTTCTATGCATACACCACTATCCTCCCCTTTTACTGTCCAGTGGGTTGGAGTTCTCATACTTAAAATCAGACACCTCATGTATATTTGTGTTTGTTACAACTAATTAGTAGGCAAAGATTGCAATTCAGGCACAAAAGTGGCTTGTTTGCAAGTTGGTTTTGACCTTACTAATGAATTGCTAATATTTAAGTTGGCAGCAGCCAACTGGCAGCTTTGAAACTGAACAGAATTTGCTAGCAGTTCAAACTCCAAATCTGCATTTGACCAGCTGCAGGGATGCTCTGGTAGTAGGAAGTGCCCGATAAAATCTGAGTCCCTGAAATGGAAGAAAAGAGCAACTTCTGAGGTCAGTGCTGGTGGACTGTCTGGGACAGGGCTGTGAGCGAAGATCTTCCCCATCCTGCTACAAAGCTGAGGACACCTTTGATGATCTAGTCTCTCCTCCTGCCTATGAACTTATTAAATATCATTTAATATCATTCTTTTGGGGACACCAGGTCACATGAAATAGCTTCGGAGCTCCATGTGACCTGCAATCATAAGTACATCACCACTGGAAGTCCAACCTTGCCTTTGAAAAGTGCCCACAATGGTACCAGTGGCAGGTACCAGTAGCATTGTACAGCATTTCTGATGTTCTCCCAAACACCAAACTGCTGTCTCTCTCCTTATTACATGGCATCACATATTTCTGTTTTGTAGAGCTTAGGCCAAACATACCTGAAAGGTTTTGTCCATTTTTGTTTTCTTATTAACTTCCTAACAAAACAAACATACTCCAAATTGTCAGAAGACATGAAACAGTCACAGGAAACCTTGCAGTGCATTAATTCAAGATTACTCTCTACTGTATCCCTTCAAAATGCTTTGCACATAATGAATATTTCAGAATTGGGTGAATGAGCAATTCTGCTAGCCACATGTCCAACAACTGGTAAAAATAGTTTAAGAATTTTGCTTAAATGTCTTTGTAGGCTAAAGAACATAGGAAAAAAATATTCACACATTGTAGTAACCTAGTTTCTTTTACAGGAGAGTTTAAATACTGTTTAAGGTGATTTCCAGGCTATTGTACTTTCTGAAAGGTCTCTTATTTTACTCACTTGGAGCCCACAATCCTTTCATATCTTCCCAGCTGTGAATCTGACAGATTATATCAAAAAGGTCCTTTTCCCCCCTCTTTTTTCACTTTCCTCATGTTCTACTTTTGGAAAGACTGAATTTCTTTTAAGTCATAATACAGTATGAATAATTGAGCTTCCTTCACTGCTAACCAGCATTCCCATCTTTGAAGTTTTTCTCAGAAGTCTTTATACAAAAACATCCTCACAATACACGTCTACAGTCTGTGCTCCCTTCGATTAAAAGGCATGTCAACATCAGGAGTGGATTTCAATAGATTCACGGTATGACAGAGACCCAGGCTACAGTCATAGATAGCCATGGCTGAAGGTATTACAGCTTCAAACTGCCATATCACTTCCAAGAAATGTGGGAAAACAGTGCCATCAGTTTATGAGCACTTCTGTTGATAATTCTGATGATGACACTTCAGAGGCTGTTTGTACTGAAAATAATTGAATCATCATCTGACTCACTTTCAGAAACCTGACTAAATTACATGAATTATGAATGTGCTATATCAAAATATGAAGCACTTTTAGCAAATCCTTAAAGATGTTCTCTCTGAAGATGTGTTGCAACCCAAGGATCATGTTCCAGTTTCAGTTGCAATACACAAATTTTCAAAACTAATTTTCTCATACTCAGAGCAAAGTTAAGTTGCATTTGCTCTCAGAGTTTTTGTTGCCTAACCTGTGTCCATCTTCAGATACCTGAAACAGGTCGGAATACTTGGTTTCGCAGCAACACTAAAAACTTACTTTTCACCTTCTTTGGTTAGGATGAAATTGTCAAGAACTAGTACATTTTTGAGAACATATGATGGGCTCTGTGGTACATGCAGGTTTTAGTGTGAAAAAAAATACACCAGGATTTGTCTTTGTCTTGAGTGTGCCCCAAGAGCTTAAAAGTATAGCGGAGTCAACCATCCCACAGGATTTTTACAAATAATGACACCAGTGGTGTCAAAGGGATGGGAAATAGAGCAAGACACAGAGTATGAGGACCCCACCACTTCCTGACCATGGAGATGATTGGACTCCTAGCCCAGATTTAACAATATTTAGCTGTAAAAGAAATTGCCTCAAATACACATTGCCCCTTATTAGGTTTCTTCTGCATAAAATTAATATGCTTCTCGGACTCATTGTTTAATTCAGTGCTGCTGATTCATTTTCCTGGAAAGGGAAAACACCTGTTTCATTTCAGACTTCTGGAAGAATCACAGAAAACCACCGGTAAAACAGATTACACAGACATTGGAGTATCACATCTATGTATGAGTTTGGCTTGCAAAAACCTCTGTGCACTAAACCCCTCTTACCATTACCCATTCTTGCTAAGGTATCTGTGTGTGCTAAGAAATTAGAAAATGTGAAACAATTCCCTTACAGCGAAATAGAACCACCTTGATCCTACAGGTGAAGTCTTACTTCTCTTCCATGAAGACCAACAAACT